AAAAAAAAGTGAAAAGAAGAAGAAAGAGAAAAAGAAATGCTCAGAAATTTTAAGAATGTCAAGTTTGGTTTTTGCTTTCCCTGCTTTCTTTGGAGAACTGTCTGGCATTCACTGTATGTTCTCACACTTCTGTGTGAGGCGGTGGGTCCTTCTCCAGGCTGCTCCGTCTGTGAGGTTCTTGGGCACCGAAGCCGTGCAGGTACCAAGGAGGCCAGGCAAGGAATGTCAGCTCTATGGGATCAGATCATTTTCCTCTCCATTACACAACCTTCTTTTTTGCTGAACCGATGTCATCAGAAAGCTGTACCTCAATTACTCTCGATCTTCCAAACACAAGAATTTGTAACGTGGCAAACAGGAAAACAAGCAAAGTGTTCCTTAAGACCCATCAGCTTGTAGTTCTTCTCTTTTCTCATCATGCATACATGAGAGAAGTCAGCGGGTCTCTTCTCCCTCTAATGCCTCTGTCAGCCCCCTGGGCTACAAGATGGGAGCCCATCTCTTTGCAGCACTTTGCACAGCATCTTGCACAGCTGTGGCACGACGACAGCAGGAAATGGTGCTGCTCTGTGGGACTGTAGGGCAGCCTGCACACAGCTCTGGGGGAGGACAGGCTGGCTTTCAGCTCAGCTTGCACTGTTGTGGTGCTGCACTGAGTGAGCAGGGTCTGATCCCGAGCTCAGCAGTGAGCGAGCAGAGCCCTGTTAGTTCTGCTTATTACTGGGAGTGGAGGGAGAGGTGGCAGGGAAAAAGTGAAGTCTTGAGAAAACACTTCTTTCATTCATATGTTGTTTACCCAAATAAATACTTCATTATTAGGATTTTTTTTTTTTAGGGTAGTTTTTTAAAGGCAGCACCACAAAGTGCCCACTGTTGGGGACCTGAGAGCACACTGGGCAGTGCAGCATGAGCTGGGGGGGCCTGGAGTGCTCGTGGCCACAGCCCTGCTGCTCCATGATACCCATCTGACTCTGAACCCTCAGTGAGACGAAGGCTGAGACAGAAGCATTTGCAACTCAGCACCTTCTGCTGTCTGAGTTCCGAATCAGAACCCTGACAGCCCCTGTGGGGACATCCTGGTGTGTGCAGAGCCCCTTTGGGAAATGTGAGCATCCCTCCTTCCCCTTGGGGTGAGCTGAGGTGAGTGGGATCCTCCGCTCCCTGTGCATCACCTCAGGAGTGATCCTCTCCCCCCTTACATGAGCCTGAAGCAGATAGGAGGGCTGCACCCCTCCTCTCCTGTTGGCTCTGTGCAGGGCCTGGGATGCTCTGTGTCCTGTGACGCTCCTGTGCCCAGCAGCAGTGAGCGCTCCTGGCATCAGGTTGTGCTCTCCTGCCACTGATTTGTGCCTTCGTGGCATCAGGTTGTGCCCTCCTTTCCCTACCCACCTCTCATTCCAGCTTTCCTTCTTCTACTTGCCCTCTGCTCTCTCATTTTCCCCTGCTTTCCTCCTGTTTCAGGGTTAGGGTTGGGGTTTGGGGCTGCTCAGCACTCTCTGGTTCCATGTGGGCTCCCCACATTTTCAGCCCCTCTGTGTCTGTGGTCAGAGCAGTGAGCTCCCATGACAGTTGAGGAAAAGCACAGTGCATTCCTCCTGTCCCCATCCCCTAACCCCTCTCCTTGGCTGCCCACCACAAGCAGTGCTGGCAGGAGCCCTGCTGGCCAGGAGCACGGGGGTTGAACATTTCCTAATGCAGTAACATTCCCCCTTCAGGTTTAAGAGGGATCTCTCCATTCCTCTTAATGGGTATGGGGGCACAGTAGCCACGCATGGGAGGTGCCTCACTTCCAACTCCCAGTGCAGAGCCCTGCAGGTGCTGAGCTGCTTTGGGTCTGGTGGACCATCTCTGTTTGCAAGGCTCTTTGCTTGGTGACTGTGTTTTTGCCGAGGGACTTAGCAGTGATTTTTTGGGAGCCAGGGAGCAGCAGCACCATGGAGGGCCCCGTGCTCCTCTGGGTTGCGTGGCCATACCTGAGCAGTCCTACACCTTACATTACGTGCCCAATAGGAGATCCACTTCTCCCAAGCCCGGTGCCTCGTGGTCTGGTCAAGAAGCAACCAGAGGGAGAATCAGGCCCTGACACACCCAGTGAAAGCATTGCTGGGTTCTGTAGGGCCATGGGAACGCTTGGAGCTCAGGGATGCTCATGGCAGGCAGGGCCATGAGGCACGTTGCTCTGCTGGGGTTACTTGCACCCATCGTGGTTCCTGACTCCCGGCTCGGTGCTGCTCCTGGCCGGGCAGCACAGCACTGGGACGAAGGAGCGGTGTTTTGTCTCTGCTGGGAGAGCTTTGAGCCATCACTCAGGAACAATGGCCAAGCTATGGGGTCATTTGTTCTGGTATTTCAGCAGCTCCTCATGATTTATGGGATGTTTTGTTCTGCTGCTTGTCTTAGCTTCCCCCTCTCCACCCTCCCCGTCTCTCTCCCTTCTCCATTTCAGCTCCTCCTCCCCCCGTTCCCAATTCCCCTAATAGCTGTGGAGCCTCTCTGCCGTATGAAGTAATGGTATCTGGGACTTATTGAATTAGCTGTGTGGAACCGGACTTCAGCACAGCGCTCCGCTCACGATGGCACGGCCCCACAGCCCCATCCCCACACCTGGGGGTGGCAGCAGGGTGCCCCCAGGGTATGGGACAGCAGGGCCAGAGCTCACTGATGGCTGGGGGACTCGCTGGTGGGGACAAGTGCACCCTCAAAGTCCGAGATTCACAGAATGGCTTGGGTTGGAAGGGACCTTAAAGTCAGTGCCGTTCTGATCCCTGCCTGTATCTCCCTGAATGCTTGGGTTGCCCTTAGGAAAGCATTTGAAAGGAAGCATCACCAGCAGGGAGCCACAGAGGGAGCAGCTGGTCCCAGGGTCTGTGAGGACAGGAGAAGGCAGCTGGCACTTGTTTCTCGCGTGGCTTTGGTGGGAAAGAGGCAGCCCTCTAGGAAAGGGACAGAGAAAAATGGTCAGTGCATGTTTGGAGCCCTTGGGCCGGACCCTGCCTCACTGTGAGCACAGGGAGCAGATGTCATTTATTGAAAAGACTAATTTGGACTATGGCACCGGCGTGTGGTTCTAGGCACTTCCTTCTGCTGGTAGTTAGTGCATCTAAGCCTGATCAGTTTATTTCTCAGTGCAGCATATCCATTATCCTCAGTGCACATTGACTCCAGGCCATTTGCCTTCTCATTTCTTTCTCACTCCCATGGCCTGGCTCTGTAGAGCAGGATGGATGCCTTAGGTCCCTGGATGCCAGGAGCATAGAAGATGCTCTCCATTGTGCAGTATTCCAGTGCTCCTTCTCCATGGGTGTGCCCATGCCTGGAAGGTGCTGCTGCTGAGTTTGTATAGCAGCACCTGATCCCTATGGCTGTGCTGGAGGAAGGTGCAGAGATACCGCAGTCCTTGGTATAAAGAAAAACCTCGTGGATGTCTGGGTCTTACTGTGAGCCAAGCCCTTCCCGTGTGCTTTGCAGTATCCTCTGTATTAGGTGCTGGCTAGTGTCTGTGTCCTGCACTTTGAGGGGGGTCTCAGCCCTCCCAGCCCTCAGTCTGCACACAAGATAGATCTCAGTGCAGTTCTGCAGTGGGAATATCAATAGAAGTCCTGGTTTCCTGACAACAGGGCTCTGGAGCTGTGGGCTCTGAGCATGACTTCCCCAGCACTCTGTGGGGCAGGCGGAGGGGACCAGGCTGATGTCTGGGGCAGACAGGGTCCCACATCACTGCTGTTCTGCTGGGGACATTGAGGTGTGGGAGCAGCACTCCTCACCTGCACCACCTCCCCAGCCCCATCTCCCAGCTGCTTCAGGGCAGTGAGTGCCTGTAGTCCTCCCTCATCCTACAAACAGCAGCAGTTCGTGTTGCGTGGTTTTCTATGCTCTTTGATAGTTTCCTCCTGGCTGAGGCACTACTACCCGCCAGGGTTCCAGGAACCTCCTGTTTGCCTTCCTGGACAGCATGTCCAGGCGCCAGCTCAGTGCTGGACCTCCCGGCTTGGCTGCTGTGAGATGGCCGAGCAGTGCCCCAGGTGTGCTGGGATCTCCCTCACCTCTGCCCCATGCTCTCCCCTGGCTGCGTGCTCACTCTCCTGCACTGTTTTGCTTCTCATGCACTCTCTTTACCCGACTTTCTTCCATCACTTTGGGGAGCCAATCCTGCCCACTTTGGGGAACCCATCCTGCTGAGCATTTGTGCCTGGGGGTGTCAGGAAGAAGCAGTTTCATTGCCATCTGCTGCTCACTTCCAAGTTCCCTTTTCTTCCTTTTTGGCATCTCCGTTCTCCCCAGCACAGAGGTACGCGTCCATCTCCCCTGCTGTGCCCTGCAGTTGCTCACTGGGGCCTTTCCCTTCCCATCCCTGACCCAGTGGCTGGCAGGGGTTGGAACTGGATGATCTTGAAGTCCCTTCCAACCTGAGCTGTTCTATGATCCTATGATCCCACTTTTGTCTGTTCCTTTATTCCCGGTGTCAGTGGGGAGGGTCAGGCAGGAATGAAGGTTTTTGGCCACAAAGAGCTGCTTGGCAGTGTGGAGGAGG